AATAAAACTCAATTTTAAAAAAAAACCTACAGTAACTGGGGTTCTAGTTAGTTATGTAAATTAATCAAGAAAATCCCCATGCAATCGGCCTACAAAACTAGAAGACATTCAAATCCCAGCATGTTGAGATTTAATACCGATGATTTAGAGGATATCAACAACAAATTCTTAACATTTAAAAACATCTTTTATTTATTTGGTACAGGGTCTCACTATGCAGCTTGGACTCACAATGATCCTCCTGTCTCAATCTCCCAGAACTGGGATTACAGGCGTGCACCACCATGCCCCATTTCAGGGCCAGCACAGCATGCCTGGGATGCTGGGGCTAGCATGGCATGTGGTACTTGGGATCAAAATCAGGACCCTGCGCTTGCCAGGCAGGTGCTTAGACTGCCGAACTATCTCTCCAGCCCCATATTCTTAACTTATGACCTCAAAATTCTTCCTTATTACACTGTTGTCTATCCCATAGTTATAATACTGCTACAAAATGCTAGTTTGTTTACCACAACACCTTTCTAGCCAGCCTTAAATCTACAAGGAGTAAAAACTGTCGATCATAGAAATGCTTGTAGAAAGGACATATTCAAGGATTTAAATGGGTTGTGGGTCTCCTCTCTCGTTTTTCCCATTTCCTAAGGTCCATATGTCAGGGGCTGCCTGACATAATGAATCAAACAACTAGGCTATGCAGTCTAAAATCAACTGTACCACACTCCTTATCCAGCCATTCTTTCCAACTTTGAGAGAGGCACCACTGAGAAGGTGAGACACAGCAAAAGACGAGACAGTGTTGTTAACATGACAGAGTTCCATTAAGCACAGGCCACAGGCTCTGAGAAGAAAACCTGGTCAAGGGAAAACCAGTGCCAGGATTCTCACCTCAAATTTAGTAAGAAGGAAACAGAGTAGGGAATAAAAATCATTTTATAGAATTAATCAACACAGCAAAATTTTACCTCAAGTTTGCTAAGAAGAAACTGGGGGTGGGAAGAATTATTTCCCAGAATTTACAGAGGATGTTAATAGAATCATCCTGTCACCGTGTAACATTAACAATGTGACAGTGTCTCAGCTGCAGAGATGTCTTTTCTCTACATGAGAATTCCATAAGTAATGAGCAAAACCAGAATCCAATGATGCAACATAACATATTTTGGTCACTATCCTTAGTTCAGAAAACAGAATGAGGAAGTTTCCTAAAAGTGAATATATATTTGTTTGAGGAAGACAATGCTGATGTACATTCAACTCTTTTCTAAATCCTGCTTGATGTGCCCATTCAAAAGTAGCAGGAAAAGGCCAGTTTTTCTTCTCTGGTTTTAAGGTTCATTATCTCCTCAATCTCATCTTACTTTGGAAAAATCCAGTAATCTCCCTCCTATTAATAAGCTCAAAGACAAAAGCACCAATTTTATATTAACTTCCTTTTTTTATATATTAACTTTGTTTACACACACACTCACAACTGCAATATCCCTGGTTATGAATTCTTTTCTATCCTATGCAGTAAAAACAAACAATGCTATCATTTGGACTATAAGGCATACTCTTTGTTATTTACTGAAGGAAATAGTTTTGCTGCCAGCCAGTACCCTAAAATAACCTAACAGGTTGCTAGGTAGTAACAGCTAACAGCCTTCTGATCAATACATACCTCTCTGTACCTGTGTATTTATAAATGACTTTCTACAATAGGGTTTTTAAAGGTATATGCTATTACCAAGCCTAAATTCTTTTAAAATCATCACAAGAATAGAAATGCATTATACCAAGACTTCTTTACTCAAAAATATAATTTTAAATTACTAATTCACCAGCCTACAATGCACTTTACTATTTTATACAGAACATTATCACAGGTTAAATCGAACTCCACTGAATGCAGACTTGCATTTCTAAGTAATTATAACTTACAGAACTTATATAAAAATTGAGATCTATTTTAAATTTCTGACTTTTGAATGCAGGGGTTTACTTCCATACCTAATTGAACAAAATTATTCAGTATCTATTGAGCCATTTGCTAGCTTGCCAAGATGTCAAGGTAAATAAGACATCACTCTTAAGCGAGCATGAAGAGTCAAGCCATCACAGAAATTCTAAAGAGGACTAAGGGAGAAGTGCTCTCAATTACGATTTACACGCTTAAGGTGTTTTTGCATTTTGTGGTTTTCTGACAGCCCCCTTTTATAGGTACAGTACTACTAGTAGCAGAAACAATAAGCACCTGGCATGAAGAATCACTACATATAACTCATCTATATCTTCCAGGAATTAATAATGAAATCTTTATTAGCTCTACAGTTACACTCATCTCCTTAAAATCTAAGACATCCCAGAAGTGTCATCTTAATTCATTCCTAACTCTGAATGAGCAAACTTTTCCTTCCTGCTCTGTAGTCTGCTTTTCTGGCATGGTCAGGATTTTATGAGTCATCTCCCATGATTATGCCTCCTGCCATCAACATTCTCTTTAGAGCCTGGAGCATCCAAAAGCCTGGGTTTCTATTAGTGGAGAGGCACTCTGATATCAGCCTCCATAACTGGCTTATTTATGTTTCAAAAAGAAAATAACTGTGAATGCATTTCTCTAAATTCTTATAATGCCTTCTGTCTAGTGGACCTGATTGTGAATAAAGGAAAAATTCACACACACACACACACACACACACACACACACACACGCAGGGGTATATACACAGCAACACCAAAACCATAACCTATGGGTTAGTTTATTCACTTATTGAAATTAATGTCAATTAGTGCTGGAATAATATTCCCCTCATATGCTGAAATTACCACACAACAAAGTCTGAAGAGGACATAATTTAAAAGGCCTTAAAGTATTTTTTTTTTTTTTTTTTTTGTGGAACTGGGGATTGAACTCAGGCCCTTGCACTTGCCAGGGAAGCACTAATTCCACTGAGCCATCTCCCTGGCCCCCAAGGCCTTAAAGTATCTTAATGCCTTCAACAATGACAGGAGGAATGATGACCTCTAAGGCACCAAAGTAAAAAGTAATACAAAAATACATCCTAGATTGATATGTCCCATTATTTGAGTTGAACTGTACACCCCCAAAAAATATGTTAATGTTCCCCACCTCCTTCCTCAAACCTGAGACTGTGACCTTATTTGGACACACAGTATATGCAGATATAATCAAGTTAAGATGAAGGCATACTGGAACAGGGAAAGCCTTCATCTAAGGAATGGTGGTGTCCTTATAAAAAGAGGCAAACCTAGGCCCAGAGACAGACACACAGTACAAATGTCACATGACCAGAGGCAGAGCCTGGAGTGATTCATCTACAAGCCCAGGAATGCCAAGGATTCCTGACAACCGCCAAGAGCTAGAAAGCAAGGAAGGACTAGAGAAAAGTGTGGCTTTGGTGGTATCTGAATGTTGAACTTCCAGCCTCTAAAACTTGGAGTGAATGAATTTAGTTTATTTCAAGTCACTCTACTTGTGGTTGTTATGGCAGCCATAGGAGACAATTACAGCCACTCATTAACAATGCCAGGTAACGTCCCTGTCAGAGACACCAGTGTACTCATAGTGAGGAGACTGCAGCTCCTCGCCACAGGCAACGTGCTTTACATTCGTATTTATGCTATTGTTGGCAAGCACATCTGGATTCTCTTTCTGGCCTTGTCATTTACTGCATGTGTAAACTTAGAGAAACATTGTAAATTCTCTGAGCTTACTCAGTAGTGTCCCAAATTTTCTGATCAAGGAGATTATGGGGCCACAGAGGAAAGTGATCGATGATGCAGAGTATGCCTAAGGAGAGTCACATGGAGAGAAAACATTATCTCAGGCTTTCACAGAGAGCACATTGGCCAAGCAATGGCCGTGACTCATCCACAAGGCTGACACTGACAAAGGATCTATGATCTGAGGTACAGGATCTCAGGACAAATCCTGAGGGGATTTCATTGACCTTATCAGAACCAAAAGCTACAACTCTTGTTGCATAGGTCTTGCTTTATCTTGGTCTTAACCATCCAGCAGAAAAGTGTAAGAACGAAGTATAAGAAGTAAAGCCATGCTGTTATGTTGAGCTGTAGGGGACTCAGGTCAACAATTTCTTTTCTTTTTT